TTTAATTGTTTTTTCTTTTTGGTTTTCTAATTGGTTGATTTTTTTCTACCCTGTCTTCTAATTCGCTGATCCGGTCCTCTGTTTCCTCTACTCTGCTGGTTAGTCCTTCCAATGTGTTCTTTATTTCTGCTATGTCATTCTCATTTCTCCTTGGTTGCTTTTCAGTGTTTCTATATCTTTACTCATGGTTCTGATGTCCTTACTCATGCTGTTGAGCTTTCTCAAGATCATGGCTCTGAACTCTACCTTTGATAATTTGCTTAACTGCATTTCATTGATCTCATCTTCGGTAGAGTTCTCTTGTTCTTTCATTTGGGATTTATTTTTCTGTTTCACCATTTTTGCTATGTCAGTGGGGTTTGGAACCTACCAAATTATCCCTGTGGGTATTGGTGTTCTGTTGTTTCTGGCTCCCTCTACTGGGTTTGGATGAGCCTGGGTGGGTCCACATTAAACACCACTGTCAAGTCTTACTTTCCTGGGTACATTTGCAAGCCCAGAAAAGGTTCTGTTATCCTCTAGCTTTTTGCCGGAGGCTAGTAGTCTCAGTTACCCAGTGACTTGGAATGTAGCCCTGGTATTCTGCATAAGAGGATTTGCAGGGTGTGGGATAGATGCTGGTTATTAATGAACCTAAACTTTTATTTCTTTGCCTCACCTGGGAAAGGCTGAATCTATGGGGGGGTGGGGGGGGGACTGATGCGTATTTCCACAGCTCAGGAAAAGATCATACTGGCCACCATCCTTTTTGGCCAAAACTCAGCAAAAACTCTGAGTGCCCTCCAAATTCCAGGTGTCCCCATGGAGTTCCAGCCCACTTTGCTCTCCTTCTGCCATAGCCCCTAGGTGAGTGATCGTGGCTATTTTAGTGCTCTGTCCCAGCTCTCTGTACTGTGGAGCAGGCTTGGTCTTTATTCCCCAAGGGTGCTGCTCACAGCTAAGACTGCTGCTGTTCTTGGGCTCTCAGTCTACCATCCTCTCATGCCTCCGCAGATCCTACCAGTGTCCTTGGTTATATGGTCCTGTCCTGCTGCTTTTCTGTTGCTTTTTTCTGAGGATTTGCCTTTATTTTAGTTGTAATTCCCATTTGGTCCTGAGAGATCATCTGTGTAGCTTCTATTCACTCCACCTCCATTTTCACATCCTTCAGGTTTCCACTTCTTGGCAATAAATATTATTGCTTTTCTTTCCATCAGAGCTCTCATCTTGACCTTTGTCTCCAATTCAGTGGGAATGAGCAATAGAGCTTTTCTAAGCATTCCAATGCCCTCTACTGATACCCCAAAGGGTAGTTCGTTAAAATGGATATAACATTACATTTTGTTGAGCGAAAATTTATGGTCCAAGTTGCTAAGGAGGACTTCAGGGTAGGAGCCAAATGTACCATGCTAGTTTACATTAATTTTATTATGTGTTATGGCCTAGAACTTGGCTTTTGCTGTCATTTAAGGCTTATAAGTGTCTTATACACTGCTGTCTTGCATTATTGGTCATTAGCATAGAAGGCTTCCTATTTTCTTCTCAGTTTAATTTCAATCAAGTTAGTTTCCACCAATGCATTTCCAAAATTTAAGAATTTGATCCAATATTTTAAAAAGAATATTTCTGTTTACATAGACATAAATCCAAGTGCAAAGATACAGAAGACAGTAGTTTAACCTGCTGTTTTGGTGAAATATAACTGAATAATTTGTTTCTAACTAGCATTCATACATTTTGATATATATTTTAAAAATTGTCATTGGTTCTGTGTGGTTTCGATTATGCATTGATCAGTTATATATTTTTTTCTAATTTGTACAAAACAATGCTTATTATGAATTCTTTATTCATAACTTTATTTATGAGTGAAAATATTTAAAGATATGACAGTTCTAACTATATGTAGATTTTAGACTCAAGCTTACTAATAATTTGAAAGAAAGTTTACTCCCAATATTGTTTGTATTTCACACCTTGGGTATATTATAATTTAAATTATTGTACAAGAACAAAGGTGAAAACTTCTAGATATATAGCTTTTGTATCAAGTGACTAAAATATCATTTGACATTATATAACTTCACTGTTTAGAAGAATAAATTGAAAAGTTATTTTATTTTCTAAATAGTAGTTAAAAAATAAAAATATCAGATATTCTAGAATTTGTTTATAAAGAAAATAAACAAAACCATAGCCCACACGTACAACTTCAGTATTTTTGTTTTCAGCCACAGTTTACATTTAATATCATTCTACACCAGTTTTATATATATAGCAAAGTGGCCAGAAAACCACGCACTCCATAGAGTGATCTGGTCCCCCTGCTGCCCAACGGGCTCCATACTCAGTTTGCCCGGTATTATTGACTATATTTCCCAGGATGCAAAGTGCATCTCTGTGGCCATTCTGCAACTACCAATTTGTACTGCTTAATCCCTTCACTTTTTTTTTTTCGTTGATCCTCACCTGAGGATCTTTTTCCCTCTTTTTTAGAGAGAGTGAAAGGGAGGGAGGGAGGCACAGCTACAGATAGATCATTGCACCTCCTGGCTTTTCTAGTCCATAGCACAATGTTCCATAGCACAAAGAATAGAGAGATCCTTTCTTTCCCAACATCTGTCTCAATGCTTGGTAATGGAGGAAACCATGACTGATCCTGCTAAGTTAAATTTGCACCACTATTCCATTCCCTGTGTCTAGGGAGAAGTGTTCTGATTATCATCCTGAGTCAGAAGCAGATACCTTGAAGTAAATATTTAACATAACCACAGCATAATAACTATGAAAGCTTTCATTAGACCATTGTTAAAATATTGAAGTAAAAATCACATAACATAAAATTAACTATTTTCAAGTGAAAAAGTTAGTGAAATTTAGTATACTCACAATGTTGTGCAGCTAGCTACCACTTCTATCTAGTTCCAAATATGTTTATTATCCAAACAGACAACCCCTGACCATTAAGCACCTGCTCTCCTTTCTTTCTACCCATCAGTCTCTGGCAACCACCAATCTGCATTCTATCTTTATGGATTTACTTGTTCTAGATATTTCATGTAAAGAGAACCATACAATATGAGACCTTTGGTGTCAGGCTTTCTTCATTTTATACAGTGTTTTCAAAGTTTATTTCGCCTTTCGCATATATCAGTCTTCCATTTCTATACATGGCTGGAAGTATTCCATTTTATTTGTATACCACACTTTATCTATTCATTCATTGTTGGACATTTGAGTTCTTTCCAATCTATTTCTCTAGAACTTTTAAGTAACTTTACAATGATCTTTAAGTAGCTAAAAATATAATAGAATCCAAATGTTAGTTACAAACACAATGCTCTTATTTACTCATTTTACAATTTGGTTTACTACATTAAACATTTTTTTTTTATCCTCACCTGACGACATTTTTGCATTTATCTTCAGATAGAGCAGGAGGGAAAAAGGGAGGAAGAGAGAGAGAGAGAGAGAGAGAGAGAGAGAGAGAGAGAGAGAAACATCGATGTGAGAGAGACACATTGACTGGTTGCCACCCACATGACCCCAACCAGGGCCGGGGACAAACTGCAACTGAGGTACATGCCCCTAGCAGGAACCAAACCCGGGTCTCTCTGGTCCACGGGCCAATGCTCCAACCACTGAGCAAACCTTGTCAGGGCTAAAATTTTTTATTCCAGAAAGATCAAAAAAAGAAATTGCAGTATCCTTTATATCATACAGTCAGGTGCAATAATAAAATCTGAGCACCAGCCTTGTAAAAAGACTTTATCCTAAAACCTCTGCTTTGGTAATAGACCCGCTTATACTGTCAATGGGAACCACTTTCAATTTTCTATTTTTCTCCCATTTGAAGTTACTAAGAACTATGAGAGAGCTAAATATTTTAAAGGCAATGGATCCATGCTTGTGGTTCTATTTTGTTCCAGTTTATTTTGTTCATTAGATTCCACATATATGTGAGGTAATATGATATTTGTCTTTCTCTGACTGGTTTATTGCACTTGGCATAATAATCTCCAGCTCCTTCCATACTGTCACAGAAGGTAAGAGTTTTTTCTTTTTAACAGCTGCACAGAAGCATGGATACATGGAACAGACTGATAGATGTCAGAGGGGAGGGGAGTGGGAGGCACTGAATGAAGAAGGTGAAGGAATGAGGTGAAGAACATGTATGCTTAGCCCATGGACAAAGATAATAGTGTGTGAAAGCCAAGGGAGGGGAAGGTGGGTGCGTGTGGAGGTGGGCAAAGGAGGGGAAAGTAGGGGACATCTACACTAGTGTCAATATTACATTTTTTTAAATTGATTTTAGAGAGAAAGGAAAGGAGAAGGAAAGAGAGATAAAAACATTGATGAAAGAGAACATGCACCCCACTGGGGATTTAGCTTAAAACCAGGACATGTGCCCCGACCGGGAAGCGAACCAGCAAAATCTTGGTGCATGGGACACACTTAACCACTGGGCCACACTGGCCAGACAACATTAAAAATTTTTAATAAAAAATATTCTGAAAAAAGTAAAAGCAATGCAATATTTTCTGACAAAAAAAAAAAAAAAAAAAAAAAAGAATGCTGACATAGTGTTTAACATTTTCCCATCTTGCAGAAAATTGCATACATACTTGCCTCTGAATTTGGCATTGGGTGTGAGTACATGATCTGATGCCATTATGTTCATGTTCACTTAAACTTCATAATAATTTAGCATATGGTAAATTATTTCAAAAGAAGTGTGCCATGCTTGGTGGATAACATGCACAATAGCTGTGCTTAATGTTAATATCATCAGTCAGGACTCTGTGTTATACAGCTCCAATACTGAACAAATAAGTGATCTCTGACAAATCACATATTCTCTCATCATTCTTAACTATAACAACAGTTTAAGTTATAATGGCAGATAATAATACCTTGCTTGGGTAGTATACTAAGACTTGCTTCATTGTCATGTGTGAAGCATTTCAAGGTCTTTGGACAAAATGTATTACCAAAGAAATGTGTTTCTGTTTGTCTCACAGTTCCACGAAAGAGGACATATATGTCGGATAAGCAAAGATCCATGTGATTTTTCAGAATATTGCTCTGGAACAAATGAGTTTTGTGTGGCTGATCTTAAATCTGCTGATTTAGAACCATGTAATAATAAAACCGCCTTTTGCTATAAGGGAATATGCCGAGATACAACTAGACAGTGCGTGCAGTTATTTGGAAAATGTAATAGTTGTATATTTTTTTCTGGGGTTTATTTATTTATTTATTTTTCTTTTTTATTTAAATTAATTAATTTATTTTTGTTACAGATGTTTCTCCTTTTCCCCCCACTGATTCCCCTCCCTCTCCCTCCCCGCCCTCTCCCCAGCTTTGTTGTCCATGTCTGTTGTTCATGTATACATGCATATAAGTTCTGTGGTTTATCTTCCCCCACCACCCCCTCTTCTGGGGATAGTCAGTCTGTACCCCACTTCCACGTCTCTGGGGCTACCTGGGGTTTGTTTTAAAATGCTGTTTTCTAAAGTCAGTAATTCACCCTATAAGCCACATAAAAATATATTCTTTATTTAAATCCAAAATTTCAAATCAAAACACCTTTAAATTATGTCAAGAGGCAAAATAAGCTTAATAAGCATGGACAAAGATTATAGGACATTAGTCATATTCAGGTGATGGGTGCAAAGGGAGTGTATTATTAGAATTATAGATAAGAGAGCAAATGACTTTGATTTCTTCGTCATTTCAGTAAGATGATACCAATTTTTCAAAGTGAGTAGTTTTTAGGGAGTGTTTCTCCTTGAATAACCAGTAGAAGACATAAAAAAATCTGTAGTAGATAGCACTGACTAGGTATCACTGATATCCAGATGTCTCTATATTAATGTACCACATTTTTAGTTTTAATTGTTTTTTTAAGATGACTAATTGCAACTTTATTTTTTCAGTTGCTAAAGGTGCAGATTATCTATGTACCCAAGAAGTGAATTATCAAGCAGATAAATTTGGAGACTGTGATGGAAAACGGTGCTTACTATGGTCTGTATTTAGAGAATTATCCATTTTTCAAATATGTGTGTTTGTATTTGTATGTTTTTTGCAACGAGTCACTTAATTCAAATGAGAGCTGAATGTAGTATCTACAGATGAATTTATATGTTGTACTTCATAGGATGGTGTATGCTCTGAATAGCTTTGGTGTTATGTTCTGAGTAACATTTTGAATTATCCTCATATTTTGAATTATTTACCTAATACATTGTGAACCAAAGTGACATATGAGAGATTTTCTCTGCTTTATGTTTCCAGGAGTGTCTTGTGTGGAAAGTTAGTTTGTCACTGGACACATACACGTATATTACCAATAACAGATTTTGATGTTCAATATACGTACATTGGAGGCCATGTATGTATTTCAGCAGCGGGTAGACCAAATTCAGCACCACGGGACAAAACCTATATAGGTGATGGCACTATATGTGATGAAAATAAGGTAAATATACCCTATACACACACTTATATAATAAGGTAAATATATGCACATTATTATTATTTTTTGGTGTGTGTGTGTATAAGAGGGAGAGAGATTAAGTTTTTTTTTTACAATTTTACAAACTGGTTTCTGTACGTTACGATGCAAAGGTAAGGATTTCTGTTGGGCAAAAGAACACTTGCTTTTCTGTCATTTTTTTTTATTATGAACACTTCTATAGATATTTCTTTTTATTTTTTATTTCTTTATTGATTTTAAAGAAAGAGGAAGAAAGAGGGAGAGAAAAATAGAAACATAGATGAGAGAGAACATCAATTGGCCGCCTCCTGCATGGCCCCCACTGGGGATTTGTCCCACAACCAGGGAATGTGCCCTGACTAGGAATCAAACCGGCAACCTCTTAGTGCATGGGTCGACGCTCAACCACTGAGCCACATTGGCTGGGCATGCTATAGATATTTAAACTTGTTTTCTCATACTTGAGAATATAAGCCTCTTCATTAGGCTAGAATTTGGTCTGTAATAATTTGTGTGAATAAAGAACAAAAAAAGAATGAAATAATACATTAAAAAAATGTAGAACAGAGCAATCTGAATAATAACACCACCAATAAAAACAAACAAGTATTTAGTCTTGTAGTAATTGATGAGTATTAATTTGGTTGTAACAAAAGTAAAACATTCATTTGCTTATTAGCCTACTCCCCTAATTCTTTCTCCAAAAGCATAATATACTTGTTAAAAATTTGGCCTTCGCTTAGGATAATACTTTCCAGGTCCCTCCATGTAGTCTCAAAGGATAAGAGATCTTTCTTTCTTACAGCTGCATAATACTCCATTGAGGAATGGGATAGTCCCAGAGATGTAGAAGTGGGGTGCAGACTAACAATCCCCAGAAGAGGGAGTAGTGGGAGAGAGATAAACCACAGAACTTATATGCATGTATGCATGAACAATGAACATGGACAACAAAGCTGGGGACAGGGTGGGGAGGGAGGGGGATGAGAGAATCAGTGGGGGATAAAGGAGAAACATCTGTAACAAAAATAAATGAATTAATAAAAAAAATTGGCCTTCCCACAAGACACGATAATAAAACAGAGTATAAGCTTTATTTAATTTCTTTTTCTTAAAAAATTTGAGAAACGTACTAGATAAATGATAAACTATTATCACTGAAAATAATCAACTGTAGAAAATGTGCATAATTATCTTACATTTTAATTAAAATAATTTACAGTGAGAAACAGTAGTATAAGACTTAAAAAAGAAAAAAGAAGTAAGTAAACTAATTTCAGAATGGAAAAAGACATTTTCACATAAAATAATAAAGTAATCACAAAGGAACCTACTGGTACTGGCTACATTTTTGACAAAATAATGTTTAGCTTAAGGAAAAATCTTATAAGATTTTATTTGAGCCTAACTGACAATTACCAGGAAGCAAAATCTCAACAGATTGAGCAAATGCTCTGGAGAACAGCAGTTTTACTGCTTATTTTGTACATCAGAGTCAAAGGAGAAGCTGTAGGGCTGGTTACCTGAAATCCACTGGTGGTAGATTAGGGAGGCTGGAGAAAGCAAAGCTGGGGACCTCTGAGATTGGATAAAAATGAAAACAAATAGATACATACTTCCTTTACACTTGTGGGCACAGGACAGTTAATGAATACTTACAGGACATAGCATGGTATTTGGGCAACAAGATAGCAATGAAGGGTTTTGTGGTCTCCTGCTCTGGAGCAGTTGTGCCATGAGGGGTCTCAAAACCAAGATTACTCTGATAGTCCAGAGGTATGTTATTTTAGATGCAAAAAGACAATAGACAGGCTCAGCTAAGGTGAAGACTGACCTTTGTCAAGAAAGATAACCCACCTAGAATATGACTACCCACCATGACTCACTTTTAGTTAAAAAGTTTTAATTTTAGACCATCTTATGTAGTTACTTTTGTCCTCTGAGTTTGTAAAACCCACCATGCAGGCCTCCCCTGAGCTTGTCAGGTTTAGTATGTGGTCCCCTTTTTGTCTATGACATATAAAGTAATATGTCTTCCCTTCAAAGATTATTTAAAATGAAGTGAAAAATGTTTATTAAAAATATGGTTGAGTAGATACATACATTTATTAACTAATTTAATAGTTCATTCATTAGAAAACAGTAACACCAAACAAAAAAATTATTTGGGTAGACCCTGGTTTCTGGTGCAGAGCTCCCAAAGCCCTTGGAATTTCCTGAGTGATAACAATGTTTTTTGTCATTCATCCCACCTAATCAAACCAATGGGGTGATTTAGGATAGGCCTCTAGATAGCTGTGGGATAGGGCTGGTCATCAGAGAGACTGAATGATTATAGGATTGGAACTTTGGGCTTCGCCTCCCAACCCTAGGCCCCTAGTACAGAACTCCATGGTGGTGAATGGTAAGGCTGAAGAGCGTGCCTCATAGAAACTTTTGAACAGTGAGATTCAGAGAGTTTCTAAATTGCTGAACTCATTGACTTGCTGTGATGATAATGTGCCTGGAGGGGACATGGAAGCTAATGCCCCCAGCCCCCAAATATCTTGCCCTATGAATTTCTCCCATATGGCTGTTCCTGAGTTGTAGCCTTTCTAATAAACATGACTAAATTGTTTATTTTTATTTTTAGTTCTGTGAGCCAAATGAGCAAGTCATGAAACCTGAGTAGGGGTATATGGGACCCTCCAATTTATAAATGGTTGATCAAAAGTTAAGGTGGTCTGGGTCTTGCATATAGTGTCTAAAGTGGAAGCATCCTTGTGGGACTGAGCCCTTTAATTTATGGAATCTGATTCTAACTCCAAGTAGTAGTGTCAGAATTGAGTTGAGCTGACTTGCTGGACATCCAGAAAAAACACCTCACACTATATAAGTACATCACAGTATATATGTATATTATATATATGTGCATACACACACACACACACCAATATATATAAGTGCAAAAAAATATCATGAAATTGAGCATATGACTGAGGAACATAAAAATGTTTCACCTAAATTGTGATTAAAGAAATGTGTCATTGAATACTGAGCTATTGTTTTAAAATTTTATTTTTTAATAATACTTGACATTCAATAGTATATTAGTTTCAGGTGTACAACATAGTGGTTACGTTTTAGGCAGCGGGGACGGTGTCAGGTGTTAGACCAATGGGGTCAGACTGGACCCGGGTTTAGCCACCTCTGTACTTGAGTTATGGCTAGGAAAGAATTCAGAGCCAAGTTTCAGACTATTAGAGAACATTTATTTGAAAAGTAGAGGTAGAAGAAGCAATTTGTAGAAGAAATTGGGAGTGAGGAAGGTAATAGTAATGTGCCTGGGGATGGAGGAGGAGGAGAGAGAGGGGAAGGGAAAGAAAAAGGGAAAGGCACCGGTGTGCGTCTAGGTGGTAGAGCACACTCGGTCCTCTGTCCAAAGGGTTTTATGGGTGGAGACTTGAGGGGAGGTCCCAGGGGAAGATCTCAATAGAATATTCTACAGCTTTCCAAGTATGTCCTTTCAGGGTCTAGGTCTCCACTGACTGACTGATTGGTTAGCACCAGGACAGAGGGCTAATATCCAATGCAGTTGTTCCTGAGGTCAGCCATGGCTTTGCTTGTCTGGCTTTGCTGCTTTTCCGGGACTGGAACTGAAATACAACTGAAGCCTGAATGTTATCTCTAAAAATTAAAGGTCAGGGGGTCCAAATTGCATGACCAAATTGCTCAGGGAGGAAAGGTCACCCTGGGGGTGAGGTCCTACCCTACAATTGTTTATTGCTGGGCACCCAGGGCTTTCCACTGGGGTGACCTTCTGTACCTGGCCCATCGTCCTTGCTCTGCTCATGTCTGCCTAATGTCTACCACAGTCAGACATGTATAAAATTTACAAAGTGTAAGCTGTTGTTAATGTGTTATCATTTGGGCATTGAAAACAATATTTGATGGAGAGAAGAAATTATATTATATTACATTATATTATATATCATTCTAAAATGAGTATAAATTAGTACATACTTTCTGGAAAGTGATTTAGCAATGTGTAAGGTGTCAAATATCCTTTTTATTCATTTATAATGGAATAATGTGTAATTAATTTTTAGGTATTAGAAAATATATGTTGGTATAGAGCAATTTTAATGTAAGATAAATAAAAAATATCAAGACATGTTAAATGGCAATTATAGGTTGGTGAGATAAATTACAGTGTATCCAGCACTATATTTCTTTCTAAAGTAATAATTGGAAATAATTTTTAATGACATGGAAGAATATTAGCAAAATCATGGTGAGTGAGAAATCATGGTGAAACCTTCAAAACATGCATTTCTGCTGTTTGGATTCCATGTGGAAATTCCATGGGTTGTGATTTACACTAAAGAATCATATCTTTGGCTTAAGTTGTCCCCAGGTGAAGACTGTAGCTACCCTGTGACTTTGTGTCTTAGTTATTATAGCTTTACAACAGGTAAAAAATAAAGTTTTTAGGAGGAGCCCTAACATCAAGATATTGTGGCCTTAATAGCATTCAAAAGCATTTAAAATCTAGGATGATCTCAGGAAAGTTATGCAAGACAACCTCTTCATTGACAACTGCAAAACATTACTAAAGAATCAAAGAAAACCCACATAAATGGAGGGATAAACCATACTCATTAATTGGAAGACTTAACATGTCAATGTTATAAAAATCAATTGATGAATAAGATGCTATCAAGAATCAAAATCCCAGCAGGTATTTTTTTTTTTCGAGGGGGGAAATGTGATGTTGTGGGAATGGAAAGACTGATTTAAAGATTTATATAGAAATGCAAAAGGCGCCCTTGCCAGTTTGGCTCAGCGGTTAGAGCGTCGGCCTGCGGTCTGGAGAGACCCGGGTTCGGTTCCCGCTGAGGGCACGTACTTTGGTTGCAGTTTGTCCCCGGCCCTGGTTGGTCGTGCGGGTGGCAGCCACTCGATGTGTCCCTTCACGTCGATGTTTCTCTCTCTCTCTTCCT